AAAAGAAATCCCTTTGGCGGAAAAACAAATCTGGTCACGTTGCCAACTTCAAAAGCCGATACAAAAATTTATGCCACCAGATAAAAACTGAATGCACCAATTATCACATTAAACAAGAAGAAAACCTTCTACGCACCAATTCCACCTGCACTTTCTACAATTTTATAAACAACAAACTAAAAGACTCAAGGTCCATCCCACCCCTGAAAGGACCTAATGGTAAAGACTGCAACGATGACACTATTAAAGCCAATTTCTTTAACACATTCTTTGGCTCAGTATTTGTAAACAGCAATGGATCATGCCCAGTATTTCCTAGTTGAACCACAGACACCTACAATGATCTAATACATATCGATTTTACAGAAGACATTGTTGAAAAAGCACTGCGCAATCTAAAACCATCTTTATCTATTGGACTGGACGGAATATGTGCCTACTTCTTTAAAAAGCTACCCACTGCCATAGCCAAAGCTCTAAGCATAATCTTTGAAAAATCTTTCAGGACCAGCTCCTTGCCAAAACTATGGTCACAAGTCACGGTCATCCCCATCTTCAAAAAGGGAGACCCCAGCCTAGTTGAAAATTACAGACCAATCTCTTTATGCTGCGTCACCTGTAAAATCATGGAATCAATTATTAACCAAACCATCATCCTCCACTTAGAAACAAACAACCTACTCTCTAATAAACAATTTGGTTTTAGGAAAAAACTATCATGTAATCTGCAACTCTTACACTGCAAAAACATATGGACTACACAACTTGATCAGGGCAAAGCAATAGACGCAATCTACATAGACTTCTGTAAAGCCTTTGATTTAGTGGTACACGACAAACTACTCCTAAAACTAAAATCTTACGGTATCTCTGGACACCTACATAACTGGATAGAAGCATTCCTGTCAAACAGACAACAAATGGTCAGAATTGGGAGCGTCCTATCAAATTCTGTACCTGTCAACAGTGGTGTCCCCCAAGGCAGAATACTTCAGCTTCAACCATAACAACACTAGAGCAAACAATAGATACAAACTCAAGGTTAATCGCACCAAAGTTGATTGCAAGAAATACGACTTCAGCAACAGAGTGGTCAATGTCTGGAATACTCTTCCTGACTCTGGTTTTTTGTCCAAACCCCAAAAACTTTAACCTTAGACTGTCTACTATTGACCTCACTCCTTTCCTAAGAGGTCTGTAGGGTGTGTGTGCATAAGCACACCAACGTGCCCACCGTCCCTGTCCTATTGTTTCTTTTATATTTTTTTAATTTTTCTTATATGTATCCATGTATTCATAACTATGTTTTTTACTTATACCTATTATCTTGTAAGCAATTGACAAGTAAAAAAAACTTGTCAGTGTGGGCTGCCTCATGACTTGCTACCCTTTTCGGCTGAAACAAAAGGTCATGTATTAAGTTGTGTGGTTTGTTTGGTACTTGCCATGCCGCCAGGAACCAATTAACAATGACTACCAAGGTACCACTGTATTCATTTGAGAATTTTTGAGCAGCTTCTTGGAAGAAAGTAACAGGAAGAACTAGTGCTTTCTTGGATCAATGTAGTCTGCCTTATTTATTTAATTCAGTTTTATTTAAAATATTTTTGTAGCCGCCTATAGTATAAACTCCATCACTTTATAACATCCATTAATTTTTTTAAAAAAATTGTGCAGTAACTATATTATAACGATATTAAGAAGAGATACATTGAAAAAGCAAGAAAATAAACTTGCTGATTGATAATTGGCTTTGTATATCATGCTTCAATAACTGTTTCAATTTCTTATTTAATGTGTTACTTTCCATAACTTTTTGAACTCCTTTTTCTGTTATTCCCTTGCAAAAAGTTTATATAGACCAGTTGCTGCAACATCTGTAGTTATGAAAACCTTTGAAAGGCTAGTGCTGTCCCATCTGAAAACCATCACAGATCAGCTGTTAGATCCCATGCAGTTTGCATATCAGCAAATAGATCAACATGATGCTCTTAATATGGCTCTGCACTACATCCTACAACACCTTGAATCTCCAAATACCTACGCAAGGGTCCTCTTTGTAGACTTCAGTTCAGCATTCAATACCATCATTCCAGACATTCTTTTAACTAAACTAAACCAGCTAGCTGTACCTGAACCTTGTAAGTGGATCATAAACAGGAAGCAGCAGGTGAAGTTAGGCAGAATCACATCTGATACCTGTACAATTAGCACAGCCCCCTCCCCCCCCAAGGCTGTGTGCTTTCTTTACTTCTCATCCCTAGATACAACAACTAGATACAAGGACAGTTTTTTCCTGAACGCCATCACTCTGCTAAACAAATAATTCCTTCAACACTATCCAACTATTTGCAAAGTCTGCACTACTATTACTATTAATCTTCTCATCACTTCTTATCACCCATCCCCTCCCACTTGTGACTGTATGACTGTAACTTTGTCGCTTGTATCCTTATGATTTATATTAACTGTGTCCTAGTAAGATTTGATTGCTTATTGCACCCTGTGATTTATTAAGTGTTGTACCTTATGATTCTTGATGAATGTATCTTTTCTTTTATGTACACTGAGAGCATTTGCACCAAGACAAATTCCTTGTGTGTCCAATCACACTTGGCCAATAAAGTATTCTATTCTATTCTATTCTATTCTATTCTATTCTATTCTATTCTATTCTATTCTATTC